GGGGGGGGGGGGGTGATTAGGTGACGCTTTCTGCGTCTAGTTTGGAGCTCCCCGCCGCACCCGTGAGCGCGGCCCTCCCCAGCTCCACTCTCCTGGCCCCTCCCATTTACTCTACTTTACACTTCGCCCCCCCTCCCCTCCAAAAAAGACACTAACAATACGTAGCGTCGAGGCAAACCATCTCAGCCCTTTCGTTCTCCGACCCGCAATAAGAGTGCTGTGTAGTTACAAGGTAATGAAATAAGATCTATTATGGTTCGCTTTGCATACGCCTCCTCCCTTTCATCCCCTTCCGACCCAGACCCCTGGGCTTCCCCCTTAATTATGAATAACTTAAGGAGGTTACTTTTAATGAAAATTATCTAAGGCACGAGGACCGTCAACAATTTATGTGACCTGGAGGAGCCCGGGGAAAAAAACAAACTTTTACGAAGTGTTGCCGCGCCTCTTTGAAGTTGAACTTGAACATAGGGCGCCCCTCGTCTTCAACGGTCGGAGAGGTGTCAAGAGGAGGTGGCGGCGTGGCGCCGGGGATGTGGAAGTGTGCTCAGCTCACGAGGGTGCGCCTTGAGGTGGGCTTACGATTGTCAAGATTACTCATTATCCATGCTCTAGAAAGGCGGCAGGCCACGCCGCCCCACGCCGCGCCCCGCCCACAAGGGCGCATGGACCGTGTCCTTGGATGCTGCGTCCGAGGCGCGACGCCTTCTCCGTCGCGCGCGCCGGCGCTGCGCCCTGGACCAGAGCGAGACGGTCCCGGGGCCCGGGGCTGTGCTGCGCCCGGGGCGGCAGCCCCTCGACACCCCGACATAAAAGAGCACCAGGGCGACGCCGGCAATGTCACTCACAGTCAGCCAGCTGGCCGGTGCACATCGCAGCCCGAGCAGCACCACAGCCCGCCGCGCGCACCACCCCACCAGGATGGCGTCGGTCCGCACTTGTAAGGGAGGCGATGTCCTCCGGTGGCGCGTCGTCCTCGCCGTCGTGGCCGCGGTGGCCGCCGACTGCGCCTCCGCCAACGTCGTGACCCCGGCCGGACTGCCCGTCAACAGCCTGCAGCAGCCGCTGCAGCAGCCGCCCGTGCCGCCCACCCCCGAGCCCATCCCCAGCGGCGGCCACGCCGTCGGCGCCGCGCCCAGCGGCTTCGTCCCCATCACTGCCTCGCCCCCGCCCGCCATGGAGGTGGCCAGCGGCAGACAGGTGTGTGCAGCAGGGTATCTCTCATCTCTGTTGAGTGTCTGCCTGTGCGATTCAACAAATGTGTCAGTTTTACCGGATTGGTCATTTGCACACCCAAAGAAATGATTAGCAACGGCAACCATCTGATGGTCGGCTCAGGGAGCACCATAAAATATGGTTGAGACAACAGTGATAACGTGATGAAAACCATATTTTTGGTTCTCACTACCACGGTAAGGTTGCATCAACCATATTTTATGGTGCTCCCTGAGCCAACCATATGATGGTTGCCATTGCTTATCATTTCTCTGGGTGCACTTCCCGCTTTCATAGTTATTCTGTATCGAATGCGTGCGGGTCAGGTTATATAGTGCCTCTTGCCCTTGCCCGACTCTCACCACAGCGCCTGAAGGCCAATCTGAGCAGGCAGGCTGCATGAGAGAAGGGCGCCCTTCTCTCATGCAGGCTGGCAACCCGTCCGCGACGATTGCGAAAGAGGGGACGGGGCCCTTTAGCCACCCGGTGTATTTGCTCAATGGAAACCCAGTTAAACAATCCCACCCAGTACGTTTTTGCCCCGAAAACCAAATCCCCTCGTTCGTGGCAGGCGGCGCGGGTGTTCGTGCAATTTAAATGTTTTCGCACTTTGCTTTGGAAATTATGACCATAATTCAATTTGTGGGCCAAACGCAGGCAACCGAAACAGAGTGTGCGGCCTCGTCTGGGTGTTGATACTCTTAACGAGCGTTAATGCGATGAAGGGTAGGGGTGTGGGCCTAGCCCGCCGGCCGACTACGCCGTACGCCGTCACAGGCGTGCCTCTGCACCCCCCCCCCCCCTCCCCCCTCCAGGGCTTCAGGGATATCGGAGTGTTCATTATTTAATTTCGCGCCACACCAGGAGGGCTGCGTCCGCCGAGGAGGAAAGCTGGGACTTCTCAGATATGCTCAGCAAACAACTAAAGGGGATGGATGTGGCAAGAAAAGGGATAGCGGAGGGGGCTGGCGGAGGGGGAGGGTGTGGAGGGGGGGGGGGTCCACTACGAAGGCAGCCCAAAGAGGCTAACAGAAGACGACCGAGACGAGGGACTTTATGATTGCGAAAGTGAGTTTGCAGAGCCAATAAACTCGGGCAAGGTAAGGGGCGGAGCAGGCAGGGGCCGGGGCATTAGGCCTGAGAGGACTCGAGAGCCGGCCGAATGGACCCCTGGGAGAGGGGCAGGCGCACGCGCGCCGCTCGACCCTCCGCTCTCCGCTCTCCGCTCTCCACTCTCCACTCCCCGCTCTCCACCAAGCCCCTCTCCGATGACCGTGCGGACCCCCAGCCCAGCAGCACTACATGTCGAAAAATGCAAAAACGTCCACTACTGCCGAGCCACGTGCCAGAGTCGCTCGGGCCGCGGCAAACGGCAGTCAGAGAGAATATTTCCAGGAGTCCCTGGCGGATACAAGGGCGGCGGCCCATTTTGTCGTGGCTGGTTGGCCACTCTACGTGTAAGGGGGAGGGGGGGGGGTCCGATGGGGTCGGCGGGCCCTGTAGAATTAGCGCGAAGGACTGCTCCCTCCTGAGACGGGTCGTAACGTATTCCGCTTGGAGCCGACACCGGCGGCGGCGCTGTGTGGCCGACTGAAAGCGAGTCCTTATTAATACATTAATTAATCCTGCTGGTCCCGGCTGGCGCGCTGCCGCCGCCGCCGCTGCTTCACGGCCTGGTTGAGGTGCGGGAGCACGCGCTATTTCCGCCGGCCGCGTGCTGCGCCCTGGCAGCCCTGGCGCAGCGAGCCCGGGGGCCGGGGCCCCGTCCAGCGCCAGCGCGCGCTGCCTCGGCAGTGCCAAAAGTACGTCGTAAGCCTGTCATTACCTGACCCTTCTGCCCCCCGCAGGCTGCTGCCGACGCCGGCAACTGGAGGCTCGTCGGCAAGCTGCTCCTGGACTGCTCCCGGACCGGCGACCTGGTCGGCTGCCTCAAGCTCAAGGCGGTGGCCACCCTCGGCCGCGCCCTCACCTCGGACGCCGCCATCCCCATCATGGAGGACCTGTCTCTGGCCAGGGACCCCGACGCGGACGTCAAGGTCCCGGAGACGCCGCAGGTTCGTAAAAGGACAGAGACACGTTATCCTGTAAGGGGGGGACCACCTCTCTAGGAATAGAAAGGAAATGGCTAACATTTTAAAAAAATTGTTTTTAATGGTCCCACGTTTTCAAACATTTAAAATAAAGCATTCCGGTAAAGCTAAAATGCAGAAGAATGCGAGGAAGAAGTAAACGGATATCACTATGATTTTTCTAGGGACTTCAGTTTTCTTGTTCCCTGCAATCCTCTGCATTTCAGCTTCACCGGAATGCCTTACTGTGAAATATCGAAGTTCAGGGAAACGTGTCAATCGGGAAATGTGTCTCCTCTACCGTGCCCTTGTTGCCGTAGACCGAGACTGAGCTGGAGGCCACGCTGCCGCGCGCGCTCGAAGAGCGCTCGGGTCGTTTGGACAGGCTGCTGCTCGAGCGTCTCGACGCCTTCATCCGCTCCAGGACAGTGCAGTTCAGCATGCCCCTCGGGCTCGGCGTCTTCGAGGGTGAGTCGGGCCACCATGTGCCTGTTATTGGCGTTTTACTTGTCGTGTTGTTTTTGTTGTTGGGGCGAAAGGGGAAAGGGGGGTTTTGCTTTATTCCGCCGTTCGCGGAAATCAGGAAACACGCGATTTCTCATCAACGTGGTGGACTAGTTTCTGAACTCATCAGAAGCGGAACTCCACCGCCCTTGTCGACTCGTTTTCCGGGTCCTCGCCCGGGGCGGGCGAACGGCAGCCGCCCACCCGCCCGTGTCACGTCAGGATAGCCAACTGGCGCAGAGGCGAGGATCTATCAATAAGGGAGACAAAGGGTTCCGCGAGGTCCAGTGGGAGTGGCAACTGCGGTGCGGTGGGAGTGTGACGTAATTACTTGTGTAAGATATGTATTTACTGACTGTCTACTTGGGTGAGATGAACCGAAAAAAAATGTCAGCCAATCATCTCTTCTGTTTTGCAAATATTCACCAAGCACACTTCACAAATATCAAATCTTTAAAAAAAAATGAAACACGGGAGGATAAAGCTTGCTGTGCTTTCAGTGACTGCTTTCGCAATAGCACTCGCTCTCACTCCCCGCACCTTGCCAGCGTTGCCACCCCACTAGCGACCCGAACATGTCCTCGTCCTCACTGTAAAAATACCTGTCGCGTTACGAAATGTTTAATAAATGTCAATATAGTAAATATATGATTTCTAGAGAGAGGTAAATTTTATGTTTTCGTCCTTTGGCGGACTTACTGAGCTGGGGCTGAGAGTATGTTTGGTGGAGACGGGTGAGGTTGAGGCGAGGATTCGATTAGAGATGGAGAAGGGTGACCAGGTGATGTTCTCGCCATGTTTTTTTCTTCTTTTCCGTCGGAAATCACTTTCTGACGATGGGCGACGCTGTTTTTGTAGGCCGCGGTAAGAAGGACAAGAAGGGCGGGTACGCCATGGTGCTGGTGGCGGCGATGGCGGGCATGTACATGCAGATGGCGATGGGCGGCATGGCCATGATGTCCGGCAAGGCGCTCATCGTGGCCAAGATCGCGCTGGCGCTGGCCGCCGTCTGCCTGCTCAAGAAGTCGGGGGGCGGCGGGGGCGGCGATCATTCGCAGGTAGGGTAGAGAAGGTGTGGAGAGCACGATGCATGGGGCCGCGCCGCACCCGTCTCGCGGCCGCCCTCCCCCGCCGCCCCGCCCCCGGGCCCGCCCCCCGGGGGCCGACTTACACCCCCTGAGCGCTTGCAGCATGCCGGGCCGGCGGCGGGCCAGGCGGGCGGATGGACGCGGACGGCTGGACCGAGGGGTGCTTCACTATCAATTCAAGCAAACCAACTTTCCTGGTTTCTTTGACATTTCCTGATTTTCTTTTGACTTTTCTGTTTCTTACCTGATTTTTAACTTGATTTTTCTTTGACTTGTTCTGATTTTTCTGATTTTTTGAGAGTGTACAGCGATTTGATTGAAGTACCCCTGGGTTGGACATGGGCGGCGTGTTTGGTGGTGGTGCAGGTGTCGGTGATCGCCGCGGTGGAGGTGCTGTCTGGTGGCTGGTGCGCTGGTGTCGGCGTGTCCTGGTTGGTGCTCTGCTGTGCGCTGCGGTGCTGACGGGTGGGGGTGCGATATAACGCTGCTTTTGCCATGTATTCATTATGATGAAAAGGCGGATCTGGGCCGCTCGCGCTGCGGTCCATTTGATCCTCGTTTCGTTTTTGTTTTCGCATGCAATAGATCACCCGCGACGTGTGAATAGCGATGTGTGGCGCGGCGCGTCGAGCGCCCGATAATGGCAATGTTTGTGTCCGCGCCGCACTTTACAGCAACATATCTGCGGCCCTTTTCACTGCGGTGCGCGGCTCACCCCCACACTATCAGGCCCGCGGCCCTGCACGGCTACTAGGGCTGTCCGATATCGATATTTCGATATTGCGGTACGATATCGACCATGTACTGAACATCGACTCGATGTGTCTAGTAATATCAAACCCTATCGGTAAATGATATGCATGAACACGGATGATATACGTGCGAGAATATCGAGCTCTCGATATCGGACACCATCGAATTAATATCGTGATATCGCACGGCTTTCCCCCTGACCCTCTGGCGCTGGTGTTGCAGGGCGCGGCAAGGGCGGCCTAGGCGGCAAGAAGGGCATGGGCGGCTACATCCTGCTGCTGGTGGCCGGCATGAAGGCCATGATGATGCAGAGCGCCATGGGCGGCATCGCCATGATGTCGGGCAAGGCGCTCATCATCGCCAAGATCGCGCTGCTGCTCGCGCTGCTCTGCTGCCTCAAGAAGGGCGGCGGCGAGGAGCACAAGTCGCAGATCGTCTACGCGGCCCCGGCCGAGCACAGCGGCGGCGGCGCCGGCTGGCAGAGCTCCGGCGGCGGCGGCGGCGGCGACTGGAACCGGCGCTCCGCCAACGACCCCAACAACTACGCGCAAAGCTACGCCTACAGCGCGCACCACCGCTACTGAGGCCGGCGGCCGAGTGAAGAGCCCTGACGGCGCTCTGGCTCGCAGGTTAGGCGCCCAAGGTGGCGGTGCGGAAAGGACCTCTTAATTGTTGGTAGTGCTCTTCACTACTGGTTCTCCCAGGCATAAAAGTCCTCTTTCTGTCTCTCTCTCACTCTCTTCTTCGTTGCTTTCTCTCATACTAGCTCCAACCCTATTCTTCGATGTCTCTCTTTCAAATTCTTTTGGCATTTCTCTCCTATTTCCAACCCTCTTGCTCCGATTCAGCAGATCTTTTCAGGGGAAAGAGGGTGAATCATGCTTTTTGCCTACTTTTAGGCGGTCCAAGTGGTAAGAATTTCATGGCTTTGCTTCTCCTTTTCCCTCCAGCATGCCGATTTACCTTACTTTCCGGATGAGTATCGTAATATTTCTTCTTTTTCTGTTTTACCTTCTAACCGTTGTCTTCTATAGCTGCATTGGGAAGGGACATTTCTCCAGGACCTGCAAAGTAACGAATGCCCGATAACAGGCCGACACCTTACGCGACGACTTTGAATTCTATATCCTTCAGGACACACTTACTTTTTTGTACTACCCAAGACGCCAAGACGCTGAGCACGGAACGTGACAAACTGGTAACGAATACGCCATATGATGTACCATACTAACATATAAACGATTAACAATTTAATTGTACCTCTCACAATACTGTGAAACTAGACTACCTCATTGTCATAATGTATAATCAAAAGCCAAAGACGTGTTAACCCCCCCCCCCCTTAATGAATTCATATTTTATGATACTACCGTGGTAACCATTCTAACTACTCAATTACCGTATTATTATTACTTCAATAAGTCTTAGCCTACTGTTTTTAAAGCTGTACCCATCTTCTTCATCGGCAATCTGTCTTAAATCTAGTCAGTCCCTTTCCTTTATTAATTCTACTGTGCCTGGTGTTTCCCACAGGCTCAAAACTTTGTTGTGTATTATCTGATTTTTTTCTTATATGTGCTACCTTGGAGATTGCAAGGCATGTTTGTAACAAAGACAATAGATATTCTGTAATTTAATCTTTAATTTATGTAATTTATTTGTTGAAGTTTGTCGTAAAGTGAAGAGAAATACATAGAAAATACAGAAACACTACGATGATTCATTTTTGTTTGATCTCCTCCATTCAGCAATCAAAAACAAAAGACACAATTGCTGCTTTACTCATAGAAGACTTAGAATGAATAGTAAGTGACTTGCTTAAAAAATGGGAACTAGGAAGGTAACATGAGCTGTACAAAAACACATGTTTTTGTCACAGAAATTGGAAAGTTGATGACGGAAATTGGAATTCAATCATGTACATTTATTAAGTCTAGCAATTACTTTAAAATAATTTACAAATAAATAAAATAAATATGAACAAAAATAAATAAAATGTGCTGAACAGCAGGAACGGCAAGTCACTTCAGTCATGTGACAAGTGATCCGACTACTTTCTACTGGCTATTTACATGGCATCATAACATGTCTGACTGGGAAAGTTGGGGGGTCTGCACAAAAATACTTCCCCCATTAGAAACCAAATATCCTACCCTAACGTTGAGAATTTTTGTTCAAACGCCCCATGCAACGGCAAGTCTTTTTTACAGTTTCTCTCAGTTTAAAACCCTATTTTCTTACAAAAAAAACATTACACGGTGTTGTACTCGTTACGCTGCTGGCGCCGGGAGGGAGCCGAGTGATCGCGGCTGGTAGTTGTTGCTGGCCTCCTCGTTGACGGCGCCGTCCACGGCCCTCTCCTGCTGCTCGGAGCTGGGTGCGGACCTCAGGGATCTGTCGGCCGGGTAGAGGGGCGCAGGGTGAGTCACTGCTCCTCTGGCACGACACGACACCGTCACCGACATCCCCCAGCTTACCTGTCGCTTGCAGGCATGAACGATGATCCGAGCCCCCTCCACGCCCCCCGGTCGGCCTCTCCGAACTGCGAGTAGTCGATGGGCTCCTCGGTGAAGCCGAGCGCCGCGGAGGCCGGTCCGGGGAGGATGGGCATGTCCAGCCCGCGCTGCCGGTGGTGCACCCGGAGGTCCTCCTCGGCGACGTCGTTCACCACGATGCGCAGGGGGTCGTGGCTGCGGATGGACAGCGTCTCGACGCCGCGCCCCGTCACGAAGCCGTTCATGGGGGTGGCGGGCGCCGCGACCGCGGCCCGGTAGTCGCGCTTGGAGGCCACGTCCTGCGGCAGGAGGTAGGGGCTGCCGCCCTGCTGCGCGTCCGCCGCGTCGTCCACCATGCTGCGGTGGGAGTAGCCGCCCGCCATGGGCCCCACGGACCACGACTTGTCGTGGTAGTTCTGCTCCTCGCCCTCGTGCGCGTTCGAGTAGGAGTGCGAGTGGGACACCTGCGGGACAGGGAGGTGTCGGGCGCCTCAGGTCAGGACACTGCGGCGCGGGGGGCGCGGCCGGTAAACGACAAGGGGGGTGGCTCGTGCCCAGCGGGGAGGACAGAATGGAAGAGTGTGACCACACCAGCGCGCCAGCAGCGCCACCATGCAGATTACTCGCACTCTGGCGGGAGCGTCTTACAGCCCACAGAGTATGGTCCAAGTGAGAATCGAACATCAGAACGTCATCGGAACTATGTCAGAAATTTGATATCGTTCCCATACCCATTCGATATAAAATGCAATTCGCACTTGGGTGCGCGTATCCTTGTTAGAAAAGTTTCAAGTCACGCATGCACAGCGGTGGGATTGTTTAGTGGGGCCTGGCTCTGGCACGGTACGCACCCTGCGTCGTACCTGCGGGGACTTAACGATCTCCACTGTGGTCTTCTCGTGGTCGTGGTGCGAGAGCAGCTTCTTGAGGACCGCGACGCCGGCCAGGGTCAGGGCCACCTTGGACACGATGAGCGCCTTGCCGGAGAGCATGGCCACGCCAGCCATCATCATGGCCAGCTTGTAGGCAGCCATCACCATGATCAGGATGGCGGGGCCGGCCATCTTCTTGAGCTTCCCTCCCTTGCCTGCCGGCGCAAAACAGTTACAGTCACGTGGTCCTGGCGATGCGGCGGGATAGTGAGAAGGGGGCGGTGCGAACAGCTGATCAGCGACTGCTGAGGAAGGACTGTACATAGGAGGAACCTTTTGAAGTTTGAAGTGTTCAAGGTAAGTTCGACGTGACTCACTGTCTTGAACAACATTGAGAAGGGGTAGGCAATGTTAAGGGTAGTTTTAAGGTTAGTAAAGAGCAATTTTACAGGAAATTTCAAGAAAGAGGTGTGAGGAATGTTGTGAGGTTAGGGTGGCTTCCCGGACAGATGCAGAGGTAGAAGTCTGAAATATAACAGCAGAAAGGTAGAGTTAAAAACAAAACTTTTGAAAACGTTTTGCACATACCATCCACCTGAAAATTAGAAAACAAATCTGCCCATATAAACATAAAAGAAATTATAAGTTCTTTTATGTTTATATGGGCAGATTTGTTTTCTCAGTTCCTTACAAAGAGTTATCTTCATATTATGAAGAATTGGGTTTTTAACTTACAGAGGATATGGAGCCACTATATTACGAACGGATTTTCTTTGTATTACAAAGAGCGCCAGTTTGTTAACAGGCTTGTGCTCTTCGTATTACAAGCTGAGCCCTTCGTAATAGAAAGGATTTGTTTGTATTACAAAAGGTATCAAATCCTTTGTACGTTACAAAGAGCAGTTCTTTGTAAGAAACTTACAGTATAGGCCAAAGTAGCTTAAAGAATGGTGTTGAAGAGTGAACCTTTTATGTACACCATATGAGTTGTTGCGTTTGTATAAGGTCATAGAAATAAGTTTGAGATTAGAAACGAAAGAACACCTTGTGATGTCTGTATAAGGTGAACAAGAAATCATAGTTTGAATAGAGAAAACGATAGATCATTGATTGTTTCATAAAGACAGTCAAAGAGAAGTTTTGAACAAAACCATCCAATATTGTGTGGTGATGTTAATGCCAAAATAGAAATGTAAAATGATATGGGGCTTTACGGAAGTAGTCGGCCACTCCGCCCCTCTAACCTCTGGGTTCACTCATCAATGGTTTCTCTCCCTCGTTGAAGTACCGACCCTCGAAGGCCCCATCGACGCCGTCGGCCAGCCGGGGCAGCGACAGCTGCAGCGACCGGGTCTCAAGGAAGCGCGACACACGTCCCCAGAGCAGCCCGTCGAGCTGGCCGGGGCGGCGTGTCAGGTCCCGGGGGAGGCTGGGCAGGGCGCGCGCGGCGCGGGACTCCTCGCGGGGCACCAGCACCACCCCGCCCACCAGCGGCAGGGGCCCTGCAGCAGAACAGAGTCAGGTAACTAGAAACTCACACCGGAACTCCACGGGAGACGCAAGTAAGTGTGTGAACACCATTCGTACACATGGTAGGTAGGCACAAAGTGTGTGAATTTCAAAGGCGACGAAAATTCACTTCTTTACTCCCTTACCCTTACCTGTATGAGTAAAAATGGGAATTCACGCACCTACAAGTGTGTGACATTCACAGACTTGCGTTTCCAAGGCAAAGGTGTCTGATGTAAAGAAAGGGGTAGCGAAATTTTCCGTCGCCTTATCACAGCGACGTTTCCTTTACGTCGCTCCCTTTGAGTACTGACTCGGAAACCTCGCTCCATGTGATTTTTTGACAATTTTGAGACGGTGCTTCTTCCGGGTGACCTGTACCAAAATCGTCACTCAAACACAGCGACGACAACAAGCGCGACTCCTGCCTTTTCCGTTCAGTGCTCACGGTCGGGAAAGTCTTCATGGAAAACTAAAAGCGAATCGCGTGTGCTGGCCGGCCGGGCTCCGACATGGTGGCTGCCGCTCGGCGCGGAGCGGGAGAAAAGCCTCGGCGAGGCGGGCGGAACGGACGATATGAGTGCGTCTGCTTTGGAGTTATTGATCAGGGAAAGCGCCCCCCTACCCCCTCTCTCCACTGCCGCCGTGCCCTCCTCTCCGACGGAGATACGTGTGCCCTCGGCCATGTCACCGGCAAACTTTACGCGGTCGTGCGCCTGGGCTCACAACGAAACGAAACAGCGGCAGGGAACAAATGTGAATAACATTTTTGAAACTTTTGCTTGAGTTTGGCAACCACGTGCCCGGGGACAAATATTCTGTTCAATAGAACTCATCCCTCAAAACTTTGTCAGCCCTTTATTATTCGCGTTGGCCCATGGTTTTCAAATTCACTGGAAAAACAAAGGTGCTATCTAATGCCTTTTAGAGGCGTTAGTGAAATAGTGCCTCTAGAAAGGTGCTACTGCCCCCCCCCCCCAATTTTTGGCACAAATCGTGCCTCTACAAAGGCACTAGTGCAGTAGCACCCCTAAAAATTCAGTTGCACCCAAAGAGAGTGCTATATAGCAGCTTTGTTTTACCAGTATTCATGGAACCGTTTACAAAAAGTTGTATCACCGCAGTGTGTCGAATTCAATTTGACTGCAGGAACTCACCTGTGTGCAGGGCGCGGTCCAGGGCGCGCACGGCCTTGATCTTGAGGCAGGACGCCACGTCCCTCGCCGCGTCGCACTCCTGCAGCGACCGCTGCACCACCGTGATGCCCGCGTCCCACCAGTCCCTGGCCGGCTCACTGCTGTTGCTGGCCTCGCTGGCGCTGCCGCAGGTAAGTCCCAGCACGACGCACGCCGCCAAGCACACGCCCCTCATGTTGTCGGTCCGCACAGAGGCTCCCTCGCACACACAAAACACACACACACACACACGCACACGCACTGGTCACTGCACTGCTTCTGCTGCTGCTTGCACCCTGGACGCACTGCTCGCCGCACACAACACCATACTATGGCGCTCTCGCTATCGGTAAGGGTATTTATCTTGGGGCCGGTCCGCTGGCCTCGGGGTGGAGGCGGGGGCGCCGGCGGTGGTGGTGGAGTGGTCAGTTCTGGGGGTTTAACGCTCGGCTGACCACCGGGCCCGGCGCGCACCCCCACGCCCGCCGGCCGCGGCGGCTGCGCTTGTGCTGCGACGGAAAAATCATAAAAATCGGATCTGGAGCATCGGGATGGCTGACTGACTGACTGACTGACTGACTGACTGACTGACTGACTGACTGACTGCGACTAACGAGGAAAGGAGTTGACGCAGAGACACAGAACCCGAGCCGCGCTAAGCCTGCGCCGACAAAGGCAGGGGTCCAATCGAGTTGATCCCACCCCTCCGGTTCCACGAAAAATGTGGAAAGATTTTGTGCTCATGTTCTCTGTGTTTGGGAGCTAGATGATAAGTGGTTTCGTTTTTTAGCCTGTGCAGCAAGGTTAGGTTTCGGTCAAAATGATTACACTTACTGTATTTGCATCTTATTTGTAAAAAGTTCCCCCTCAAAGGCGGGCCTTACGAAATTTCAAAGGTCTTAATTTTTATGAGATGCTCGTGAAAATTCGTGAAAATTCGAAAACTCTTGGCTCTATTAGGAAACTTTCTGGTCGAATCTCCCATCCCATGGTGGGACCCCGTGACACCGCACGGAAAGTGTTGAGCAATCAATTTTTGTACACATTCTTCCGTTGATATGAATATTTTTTATTTTTTTTGCATTTATATGTCCAAAAGCACTATGTGTTATTTTTGCACATACATTTTCCCAAAACGAACCGTGTAGGTAGAACTTAGCACGAACCTCTGTACAAAAACATACAAATACATTTACACTGCG